TGTTGGGATTTGAATTGAAGCTTATTTCTAATTGGTTGTCAGATTCCCATGGGGCCATTCAGGGGCAACTCTGTAGGCTGTCCTGAGTTCCAGGCTTGGTTGAGCCTTGCTGGATGACGATGCACTGAAAAGGGCTTTTGGCAATTGCTATAGCGTTACATGGAGATCTTTGTTATGTAAAGTATTCTGGCCCAGGCCTTAATGGCCCATTAACAAAGGTGGGGGTGAGTTTCTGCCTCTCTGGGGTAAGTTTCTGCTCTTGAGTTTCTATTCTTTTTAGGGGAAATATTCTGCCTTTTTAATATTTCCCAGGATACTTCATTTTCTAGGAGAGGTGTGGGTGCTAACTTCCCTCAGTGGGTAAACTAAAGACCCAGATTGTTGGGGGCAATAGGCTGATTCTGTAAACCGCTTAGAGCGGCCTGTAAAGCACTGTAAAGTGGTATATAAGTCTAAGTGCTTATTGCTTATATTAGCCATTAGTGGAACTTGCAAGGGGACAAAAAGAGCTACTTAAAATGTTGCACAAATATCACACACAACCAATTACAGTTGTGAGTTTATCTGGCAGGTGCAAATGCTTTGAGCAGCAGATCAACCTTTTTTCCCCTTGCTTCTGGAGGGGCATGAAACCCTCCCACCCTTCAATTTGCAAAGCCAGGCAGCAATAGAGGAAAAATCAGATTATAAGAACCGAAAGGGGGGGCGGGGGTCCAGGAGAAAAGAAATGCACAAATATTCCCAACCGTGTGCCTTAAATCTAGCATTCTGCAGCTTTGTCTGAAATGTTTACACAAGATCCCTTCTAATTGGAAATTGCCCTAATTTACTTGAAAACAACGGACGCCCCTTTAGATCCAGTTAAAAAGATTTTCTCATGAAGCACTTCGGGCTGTTAAAAGGGCAAAAACCTTTCCCGGCTAAAAGCATTCAATGCTAATTCAGTTATATGTGTTTTTCAGCCACCTGCTCCAAAGGAAGCAGAGAAACCAGCATTCCCAAAAGGTTTGCACTTTCGATTTCGCCCGGACTTTTGGCAGGAGCAACAACCCGCATTAACTCACACTCAACTCTTTCCCTCCCCACTTCAGTCGTCTTCTAACTCGGCTGACTCCGAAGTTGGTGGACTCCAGCCTCTCCGGGGGAACGGAACACGAACTTGCTTTACCCTACCGCCATCTAATGGACACGCCGAGAAATTACAAGCAGGTTTGTCACGGAAACCGCTTGCAGACACGAACGTTGGAGAAGCCTTTTGTCCATCAGTTGTTCATTTTCTAGCCCAAAGAAAAATCTGTATCTATTTATTTTGTATCCTGCCTTTATTGTTTTTTTTTTTTTTTTACAAATAACTCAAGACAGCAAACATAACCAACACATCTTCCTCCTCCTATTTCCCCCTGTGAAGTGATCAGAGATACGCATTGAGACTAAGGCAGTTTTGGGTTACTGACCTCAGTTGACCACAGTGGCCACAGACTACATCACTGACTGCTTGACGTGGCTCCTGTGACTGGCCGCTGTGGCCGCTGGGTTTTCAAATGTGCAAGAAGACAGAACGAAGCAATTGTCTAGCTGGGAAAATCAAGCACGGGGTCCTCTGTTGTGAGATTCCCTTCCTCCTTTCAGCAACACTAATTTCGTAGCCTTTCTGTAGGTTAAAAATTTTAAAAAAATTCCCCTGCCTATAACCTGCCCTTCTTTAATGTGGCAGAAACAAGGAATCCTTTGTCTCAACTTGCTAGTTCATTCTTTCTGCAATTCTACTCTCTCTCACTCTCTCTCTCTCCTTTCATACATACCCACAGCCCCCCCCCCTTTAAAAATGGAGAAATGTTTGCAAATGACTGAGATGCTGAACAAAAGCTCCAGCCCCTTTCCCAGCAATTCTACTCAACGGCTGAGCTTTGCTGTAGTTTCTATTCTACTACAAATTACTGTTTGTATTTTCCCTTTTTGTATTTTCCTGTTGTTGAGTGACTTGATTGCTTCATTTTCCTTTACTATTATAGGCACAGGTGGTCCTTGACTTACAAATCATTCATGTAGTGACCTTCGAAGTGAACAACGGCACTGAAAAGAAGAGTAACTTATAAGAGTTTTTCACACAACCCTGTTGCATGCAGCATCCCCAGGGTTACGTGATCAAAGTTCAGAAGCTTGGCAACTGGCATGTATTTATGATGGTTGCAGTGTCCCCAGGTTATGGGATCACCTTTTTTTCGACCTTCTGACAAGCAAAGTCAAAGGGGAAGCCAGATTCACTTAACAACCGTGTTACTAATCGAACAACTGCAATGATTCACTCAACAACTGTGGCAAGGAAGGTCATAGAATATCTTGCTGAGCAACAAAAATTTTGGGGCTTGATTGTGGCTGTAAGTTGAGGGCTACCTCTATGTTATTACAAATGCATTACTGTCTTCATGTCAGTAGAGAAAGTTAAGATTAAAAAATTAAGTATCGTTAAAAATGGTTCTGTTAAAAAAAATGACTCTGGCACAGCTTAGGATTATAGTCAGACATTTATTGCCTTGGAGACTGAACTCCAGGTACAGACGCTTAACATCCTCAAGCATTTTTTTTAAGACACATCATACATTGCAGGGGTTCAAGCAAAAACTCCTTCTCGGAAATACAATCCTTAAGAAAAGAGACTAGAGGCCATTTGCACATTCTTTTAACAAGTATTTGCAGGGCCAAAGCACAGACTGGCAGCTGATTGGCACTTTTGCCTTGCTCACATAGCATATGTAGGTTAGCAGTAACCTTTTCCAACTGTTAAAACCAAAGTCAGAAGGCTGGGACATTTGCGCCATGCAGGCTGTGTCTGAGTTTACACTGAATGTGACACAGGTCCTTCAGATGTGTCTCATTTGACAAAAAGAGAAACGTCTGGAGAAACAAAAAAGAACAAGCGGAGAAAGAAATTCAAGTCCTGTATGCATTAAAAACGTGGAAGGATTCAGAGCCAGCCATCTCAAGCCAAGGACCATGGGAACTGTATTTCAAATTGCACTGCATAGCTACAAACTAGAGCCCCCAAGATTCAGTGGAGGAACTGCGAGAATAACATTAGTTAAAATGTGTCATGTGAACAATTCACTTCTCTAACATCAGGCTTTGAAATTGAGGATGTGCATAAACCATCAGCCCAAAGCTTTGTCATTTCTAATGACCCCAACAGAAGTGGGGTAAGTAGACAGGGAATTGTCAAGGAGAAAATGTGCAAATGTATCTGCACTTTGCTCTGAAAACATGAAATCAAAAGTCAGACGCGGCATTTCTTTTCTGTCTTTTGTGACAGGCTTCATGTCTTGTCAGCTGAGGAGCTGCTCTTTTCAGATTCCCCTGAAACATTTGCATGGATTAGGGTTTTTTTTTTTTTACATTTAACTCTTCACTAAACTAGACTTCTGTCATTCACATTGTGGAATAGCTTTACCAAGGCACTGGGGTATTTCTCCTGCTGAACAAAAATTTAATTCTATTCATCTTCAGCCCCAATGGGGTTTCTGTGAAACCAGAAACGAAAATCTTTGACAGCATGAGCCATGTGAAGTGAGAAATGAATTGTTGACTGACATATAATAAATTATTATCAACAAAGTTGTAAATATTCATCTTTGCAGCTTTGAGCAAAAGTTTGGAGCTCAAAGTCATAGAAAATCTTCATGAGAAGAAGGTTGCTTTAAGATGTGCTAGTAACAGACACTCTTCATATCAATGTCCAAAAATTCTATCCAGTGAGAGCCAATATGTTTGCTGTTACATAG